AGTATGATGCAGTTTTATGAAACAGTTATAAAAAAGATCATGGAGGTGTTACCTAAATTCTAGCAATACAAGGAGTTTTAATATTGGCAATATATTGACAGTAATGGTATAGAACGAGTACCGTTAGGCTTGTCGGAATAAATAAAACAAAGGAAGGGAGAATGTGGTAGACCTATAATATCAGTTAAGAATGAAAGTGGGCTCTAAGATGCAACTATCAGCTATAGGAAAAAAACTCTGATCGTGGACGAATTTTAAAGAAAAATAAAATGCAAGAGCCGTTGAGAGTTTAATGGATATTAAAGAGAGCTTCCACAAAGTACGGCAGATTCCGAGGACATAGATGAGCCTTTTACATATTACCAAATATTACGTAGAAGGCTTGTGCACATCTCATGATATACATAAAGCAAGTAAAAAATTTTTCCCTCCTACTGCCCACAACGATTCTTTTCCTATGATCGTCTTTGCTCTTTTATGTTTTTATAATGACATTTTTAAAAATAATAACCATTTTCGCAGTTGAATGCTTTGCTTAGACAACACATTGCACATGTCCTTGGGCATTCTCGTTGTGCATAATCTCGTAGCTCTGGCTTATAACAATCTCGATTCACTTCATAATCCTCATCTCTGTACTTCAGAAGAATTATAAGGTGAAATTTTTTGCTAAATTTCGAAACTAAGGAAATTTCTTATAAATAATTGTATAAAATAATAAAAAAATTACAACGGCTTGATATTTCTGTTGCAGTATTAAAAATATTTAGAAAATTATTACTCTTTATTTTGATTTTGCAATTTTTGCCCCTCTGTCACTCCTAACGCTGCTTGACAAGCTTTAGCGTCATTATCATAACATAAATTTGGATCAACCGTTGGGCGACGTTTATTACCATTTCCAACGGTTTTATTGCAAATTTCCAGTTTCGTAGTCTCTCCAAAAACTGCAGGCAATGCGATTAAATAAAGAAATAAATGCATCATTGTTTATGTTGAGTGAAATGACAAAATTTTCAACTTTTATATGTTCTAACTTTATAAAGTTATCAACTTGTTTACATTTTATATTAAATTTTCAATATTAATTAATGATTTTCGCCAAAATCTATTCAATTTTTGCAGCTGATTAAAACGACTTTTTGCGAAGAAACATTTCTTGAACAAACAGATTTTTGATTTACCAGGAACTTCAAATAATATTTGAAAATATCAATATTTAATTAATGAAATCTCCATATTTTACAATTTAATATTTCCAAAGTTCTTATCACTACGAAAATAAATAAATCGCATTTTATATGTGAATTTCAAGAATATAGAAAATTAAAATTAAAATATGAGAATTTACAGATGAAAATTATTTGATATCTATTATTATATTATTTACTCAAAAAATTTTTAAAATTCAAATCCAAATTACATAATATTTTTAAAATAAGTGAGTAAATTTAATAAATCGGTGATTAAATGATTAAATTTTTGTTTATAGGATTGCTACTCATCAAATCAACTTGCTGAAATATTTCCAAGCCATTTGATCTTATGCCTTACTAGAAACGCTTTTAATGGCAGTTTTACGCTTGCCCAATGGCAACGAACCTCAGTTCAGGAGCCCTTTAGTAAATTTTCCTAGTTAAGCCAATTAATTAGCATAAAATGTGGAAATGTGAAATGTGCCTAAATCCTCGTCTACTGCCACACTTCACCGTACCAACGTCATAAAATAAATGCACGCCAAATTTTTTAAGAATATTCGCATCTTTTTATCATTCATTTCATTACTCTGCAAAAAGTTGAAAATTGGAATTTTCATTGAAAAAAAGGAAATTTTAGTCATTCAAAAAATTTTTAAATATTAATTTTGTGTTAAATTTTTATTAAATTTTTCTCAAAAAAATTTCGTTTTTTCGAATTTCGATAAATTTTGTATATAACTCGAATATTAACATTTTCTGTTAAAAGGAAGTTGTTTTTCGAATTTTTTTTAACTTATTTTATTTTGGTCATTTTACAGTTGAATAAACATGCTCTTTCATGACTAATAGCTAATTTCTTCTACTGTAGTCAAACAGTGGGAAACAGTGGGAACAGGGGGAACTTTTTGTGTTCTTAAAAGTATTAGTACCATTGCGGACTTTGCAGAACAATGAACTGGCTAATGAATAGTGAAAAAATTCATTGATATTGTTGAAAAAAACATTGTGCTCTTCTAAATCTTATTATTAGCCATTGGAAATCACTGACTTGCAAAATAGATCAGATGTAAGATACTGAAATTCTTCGGAATTTAATGTTAAAAATTGTATATTACACATATTTTAACGATTTTTTTTGTAAAATTTTAGAATATTTTTTAAATTTCAATCTATTAAATTCTGTTGTTCACTTAATATTTTCTATTCTTATAAATTTTTATTTCTCAAATCTTCTGATTTATTGCCGAATTTTAAAGTCAAATTTTTTAATTGAAATTGCCAAATTATCACTCTCAAAATTAGTTCAAAGAAAGAGGGAAAATTAATAGTTTTTGGAATTGCTTATATATTATTTGAAATATTTGATGGTGAAATATCACTCCTCTGACATTATTCCAGCAACTTATCGCTTCAGATTGTAATCTTGCCAGTCTTACCAGAGGTATAGATCGACAGTTTGAGGAACCTAATCGTTGGTGAACTAATATAAATTTAAAAGTCTCTTGTTTGATTCATCATATTGGCTAATTCTTCAATAGTATTCTCAGCATTTTCAGATAGATTTTCGATGAATTATATCTTTACAATTAATAATTTAGAATTAATTAGAATTAAAATTCAATTAAAAATTATTTGCATATTTTTTTGTTATTTTTTTTCAGAAATTTGGAAATAATTATTTAACATGACTTAATTTTTCTTATGCAAAATTAGCATTGGTTCCTTTCCAACAAAAAATTGCTGGCAAAACTATTCAAATTTTTTATTACAGTAAATTTAATATATTTCAATATTTGTTCAATATTTCATTTTTTATATATAATTTCATAGCTTCATAAAATGATAAATTGAAACCAAATCTTTTCTATTTAAGAAAAACTTTGCAAAAAATTTATAAACTTATAAAATATCGAAAATTATTTCAATAAAACAGTAAAACCAACGAATTATTTATTTACTTATTTATTTATTATTTATTTACTTTTACTTAATTTTTTCGCCAAGACAGACCAACAGCTCCCAAAAAATAATAGAATTGTTTTAGTGATAGATTTTATGACTTATCGACGAACACATAGTCCACAAGTACGCGGACAAATGGTACTCAGAACCGCCGAATATCTTTCATGGCGACAGAAGGGCGCATATTTTTCACAATTAGTTCTTTGATCAGCGCAAGCTGGACGAGTGACTGCTATTGTTGAAGTTGAATCTGCAAGTATTTTTTGCTACATTTTGTTAATATGAGGAAATTCGACTTCCATTCTGCTTCATTAAAGATAGTTTCAGCGAAAATTTACCCGACAAGCATGTGCTTATATTGCAGGTCTTCATGCACATTTGGGCAATTCTTTCATTGTTGCAAGCATCAGGAAAACGTGCAATCACAGGACAACTGTCGTGGGCATCTGGACATTTCCCAAGCGCTCCTGGCTTATCACATAGACCGCATTTTGCTGGGCATTTTGCGAGAAGTATTTTATATAAAATTGGATTTCGGCAGTGAGCCATACTCAATTTTTCACAAATTTCTTTAGTATAAGGGTCTAAAATATAATTTTATACCTATTCAAATATTTTTAAATATGTAAATATCTATTAATGAAAAAGAAAAATGCGGTTGGTTATATTATTATGTACAAAAATTTTCTGCAAGAGATAATAAGTATTTGTTCAAAATAATAAATATTCAAATTAATTTTAAAAGAAAATTATTTTCAACGATTGTCTTTTTGCTTATAAAATTGAGAAATCGAAAATGATAATATGATATAGTGATAAAAAAGTAGGGTTAATGCCGTGATAATTATTAGAAGAATTAATATATTCTCAGATAGACAGACGAAATTGCCCTCGAATCCCTTAACTAAATCTTTAAATTTCTTGGTGTATAGCAAAGCCTAAGGCGAAGGCAGTATTTATAAGTTTAAGGAGGTATTATTGCCATGCTTTGCTAAAAAGTATGATGCAGTTTTATGAAACAGTTATAAAAAAGATCATGGAGGTGTTACCTAAATTCTAGCAATACAAGGAGTTTTAATATTGGCAATATATTGACAGTAATGGTATAGAACGAGTACCGTTAGGCTTGTCGGAATAAATAAAACAAAGGAAGGGAGAATGTGGTAGACCTATAATATCAGTTAAGAATGAAAGTGGGCTCTAAGATGCAACTATCAGCTATAGGAAAAAAACTCTGATCGTGGACGAATTTTAAAGAAAAATAAAATGCAAGAGCCGTTGAGAGTTTAATGGATATTAAAGAGAGCTTCCACAAAGTACGGCAGATTCCGAGGACATAGATGAGCCTTTTACATATTACCAAATATTACGTAGAAGGCTTGTGCACATCTCATGATATACATAAAGCAAGTAAAAAATTTTTCCCTCCTACTGCCCACAACGATTCTTTTCCTATGATCGTCTTTGCTCTTTTATGTTTTTATAATGACATTTTTAAAAATAATAACCATTTTCGCAGTTGAATGCTTTGCTTAGACAACACATTGCACATGTCCTTGGGCATTCTCGTTGTGCATAATCTCGTAGCTCTGGTTTATAACAATTTTCAT